ACATGCTATTTACATATATACTATTATTTACAAATTTATTAGAAATATTGGATTAAATTTCAATTATTTCTATAAAACTGTATAAAAGAATTAAAAATTTTTAAAATAAGAGTATTTAATAGTTAAACTAAATTTATCTTTTTTTCTTATTAATTTCCTTTATTAATCGAATTATAATTTTTTGACTGCCTCTGTTCCGACTCCTTACATATTCCGAACTTTCTTCCACTTGCTCTACCCTCACATGCCACATGCCACATGCCACTTGCCGCTTGCCACACTCAAGCACACATGTGGCACGTGACTGCAATTTGTGTGTAGTGTAAATCTCGACACATTCGACGAATAAGCTTCAATATATTCAATGGAAATTAACACAAATCTAGGTTATACAAATCGAGCACAAAATTTGCTAAGGCCAAAAGCAGTTGCTAATCTACCCCTCAAGATCTGCTCGACTAAAAACAATCTGACGAGCTGTGTTTGCCCTGTCACTTTGGCAGAGGGGTGTAGTCGGGTTCTTGTTGTTGGTATTGTTGTTGTTGGTGTCGATACATCAAACTGCCAAGTGACAAAGTGATTCCCAGGGCCTGAGCCTGTTGGGTTATGGGCAAAAAGGCGTGAAATTGCCTTTTGTGTGATTAAGTCAGGACGCGAATGGTTTGGGACCAATTCCAATTGGTGTCGCAATACAACTGCGTCTTACCAAAACGAAAAGAAAGTAATGAGATAACTAAGATGACAATCGGAGGACAAAGTTTTAGAGAGCGCTACGTGCTCCTTATGCCGTGTCGTTGGCGGCTTTAATTACCGAAGCAGATAAGTAAAATGTAAATGGTAATTGTTTCTAGACGAGAGCTAGTAGTAGCTGCCAGAGGGAGCTGGTAGAGCTTGGCAAGCTAGTAAACTCTGGAGACAGCCGACACCTTTTCTTACGGTTATTGTTTAATGTTAATGCCTTGGCTGCTGTCGCGTAATCTGCGCTCTTTGCGGGATTATGTTTTGCCGGAATGAAACAGCTTCTAGCTGCCTGGCGTCGTCGTTCTTGGCTCTGTCGGAAGTTGGCGACTGGAAAAGTTTCCGGCAGGATTGCAGCTGGCTCTGGCACTTGCTGCGGCAACCCTTGTATGACGTATGTATATCCCTGGAGTCTGTGTTGGTTTCCAATTCGAGAGCATGGCCTCGGCTCAATCAAGTGCTTTTCGCGCATTATATAAAAATTCGAATTGGATTTCAGGGCAGAGCACCTAATTTGATGGTGACTGGAGGGTGGTTTCTGCCCCTGTTGCTGTTTGTTTAAATACCGTGAATAACATGTGGTTTTTTCGAAGCATATGGCAAGGACTTTGTCACTATTTAGACGGCCGTCTGCTTTGTCCTTGTTCTCGTTCAAATCCTCCAATTAGACTGTCATTCATTTAAACGGATTAAAAATCCCCGCACAAGGGGGTTCGCTAACAAGGCCCGAGGGCCGCTCTCTACCACAGCCGGATGGTGTTCGGTGGTGCTCGGTGGTGTTTAGTGGTGGTGGCGGCGGCTCTTGTGGTTTAGCGCCCAGAAGTTATATATAGTTGGTGTTCGCTAAGCGACTGAGCTCTGCGGATTAGAGCCCTTGTTTTGGTTACCAAATCGCCTCATGACGACAAAAACTCAATGTTGCTGCTGTTGCTGCTGTTGTTGTTGTTGTTGTTGCTGCTGTTGTCGTCGTGTGCGTTCAATCAGCACGGAGCAGTTAGTCACAATCAAGCACGGCAAACATTTTTATGCTGTCATATGCAAAATGCCAACGAACAATCTCTGACTCGGCACCTGCCGCTGCATTCGTGTGTCCTGGTTGCCACCTCAATGGCGCTGCGGGCTTTATCTAAAATGCTTACGCTCGAGAAGCTTTCAATCGAGTGGGGAGCGCATAAATATTTGTGCTCAACGGGCAGACACACGACTCTAGTATATTGCCCAAAAATACTTGCCAGCTGCATGCGCTCGAACCACAACAACAACAACAACAGCAACACCAACAAAGCAAAGCAATCACAATCCTTGCAACAGTTAACAGTTGCAAAGTGTTCAATTCCACATAGAAGCAGCCCGGCCAGAATGTCAAGGACACTTCAGCTTAGGCAATGGGCGGCAGCAGCGACAGCAACAGGAAACAGGAAGGCCAAAGGGAAAGGGAAAAGCAACTTCTGGCCACTTTGGCTGTGAAGTGGGTATAATAATTCCATGGTGATTATTATGTGTATATGAAAACACATATTTATAGCTTGGCTGTGTAGGATATGAATGGCAATAGCTGCTAGGAAGTGAAGAATAGTTGCAGTTATTTTGATTTTTGGTACTTCAAGTTTTCATTTGATGCAAAGGGTTACAATTGGGTTATTCGAGTTATCAAAATTTTACTTTATGATTTTCATTTTTAGTTAATTTTTTATGCAACTCTGTCTTCAAAGTGAAGTGAGATATATATTAGAAATAATAATTAATGTTATATTTAGTTTTTAAATAAAAAGTATCTGGTAAAAAGTGATTTAAATTGTGTAAAGTTTTCTTATCGGTATCGAATTTATCCGTAATTAAAATATATTAACATATAATTTTATTATATTTGTTTACCTTTGCTCTACCTATCTTCAAATGTGGAGTATTTCATTATATATTATTATAGCAAATCACACATTGTCCTTTCTCTTTAATTCTCAAGATCAGAATTACATTTTTTATTGCTATCTTAT